ATCTTGCCGACCTTTATATTCGAGATATAGTTCGACTTTATGGGGTTCCAGTGACTATTGTCTCGAATAGAGATCCATGTTTTACAGTTCGATTGTGGCAGAGCCTACAGAGTGCCTTGGGCATTAAGTTGACTTTTAGCACCGCCTATCATCTCCAGACTGACCGATAGTCAGAGCGTACTATTCAGATCTTGGAGGATATGCTTCGGAGTTATGTTCTTGATTTCAAGGGGTCTTGGGAGAAACACTTGCCTTTAGTGGAGTTTACCTACAACAACAGTTTCCAGTTGAGTATTGGCATGGCATCATTTGAGGCCTTGTATGGCCGACAGTGTAAATCCCCAGTGTGTTGGGCCAAGGTGGGTGATGCATCTATGATAGGCCCAGAGTTGGTTCGGGAAACAACGGAGAAAATTGCTTTTATTCGTAAGAGGTTGGTTACAGCTCAGAGTCGTCAGAAGAATTACGCCGACTATAGGAGGAGACCGTTATCTTTTGAGGTTGGGGATCATGTATTTCTTAAGATCTCACCTAAGCGGGGTTTGATGAGGTTTGCGAAGAGGGGAAGTTGTCTCCGCGCTTTATTGGGCCTTTTGAGATTTTGAAGCGTATTGGGGAAATGGCATATCGGTTAGCTTTGCCGTCGCCACTATTTGGAGTTCATGATGTTTTTCATATTTCTATGCATCGGAAATACAAGCCTGATCTCGATCCGTCACACGTGTTGGATTGGACTGAGTTAGAGGTAGACGAAGATGTCTGTTATGAGGAGAGACTAGTGAGGATCTTAGACACTTGGGATCAGGTCTTGCGTAGAAAGCCAATTCCCTTGGTGGAAGTGTTGTGGAGACACGGCGGGGTTGAGGAGGCGACCTGGGAACGTGAGGTTGAAGTCCGTGAGAAGTATCCGGACCTTTTTATCGATGTTTGCGAGTTGTAATAGATATGTTATTTTGATATTATGATGTACATTGTATATGTTATGGAATAGGGTGAATTTCTTATATTTAATTGGGAGGTTGTGTTATCATGCCATGATTGCGTTTCTACAGTTGTAATTGATTTTGATTCAGCGAGGTTATCTAGTTTAAATTTCGGGAACGAAATTCCTCAAGGGGGAAGGTTGTAACGAGTTGAATCAAATCGAATTTATACTTTAATCTCAGTTAGGGATTTATTTTAAATTATTAAATTCCGTTCATTTTGGATCCAATTGATTGAATCGTGACCCGTTAGTAACCATGTAATATTGTTGTGGTTTTATTATTATTATTTTATTACCATAAAAGAGTATTTATGGTGTGTACCATTAAACGATATATATTTTATGGTGAAAAAATATTATATTTACTTTTGTCATTAAAAATGTTGAAATATATTTTTAATTGATATATATATGGTTAGATATGTGTCAGTTAAAAAAAAAACAACAAAAAGGAAAATATCTATAAATAGTAACCTAATAGTTTTTTTTTTCCTCATACTTTTGGGAGTTCTTGCCGGGAGGAAAGAAAAAAGGGGTTCCAAGTTGGTTTTTCATGAGTTTGATCTAGTGTAAGTCATTTTTGACTCCTGGTGCTTTGGATCAAACCGTAAAGGGCGAAAAAGGCGTCGTTTGGCTCCGAACAAATTTAATTTCTGTTTTCAAAAAGTTTGAAAGCTTCTTGGCTTAAGGAAGGGATTTTTCCTACACTTTTTATACACTTTTACTTGATTATATGGAGCTTAGAGTTGTATACAATTTAATTAAAATTTTTGGAAAATTTGTGATTTATTTGCTCAAAAGAGAAATTTTGAGAAAAATAAAGAGTTGATGCTCAAATTGTGAAAGTGTAAACTTGGAATATGTTTGTAAGGTTATGAAAGAGTTATGTTTTAAATTTGAACAAAAACGGACTCCGACTTAATCGGTTTTGAAATTTTTACCGGTTTGCGACCAAAAGAGCATTTTTAAAGAAAACAAAGGAATTATGTTTAACTTTTGGGACTTTTGATCAAAATAGGATGTCATAGTTGAATAATGCTTGGAGAATGAGTTTGGAAAGAAAATGATGTTTTCTTGGGCGGTATTATTTTGCTTAATGTATCTGTTGGAATAAAACGGTCACGGTTAGAAATGGACCCTGAGAGGTTACCAGACGTGATTGTGATATGAAAACTAGTGTAGTTGTTCATATTTGATGAGATGTGTAATAGATTGTATTTATCGAAATTTATGAAATTTAATTGCTTAAATATTTGTTTAGAAATATTTATTTTGGGCTATCGATAGAGGATAGTCATAATTGTTGTAGAAATGCATGAGACTTAAGTAAATTGAACCACATTCCTCATTTGTTGCATTGGGCATTTCATTACATTTATTTAATTGGAAATGCATCTATTTTTTTGAAATGTTTGGAAATGTATCTGTTTGCAAAAAGATGAATATTTGGTAAATCTGGATAGGGGGTATAGAACTGCGTGGTTAGGTGTCGAGCCTTCTAGTTTACTGGTAAAAATGACAGTGGTAGTGCATTAGGGCCTACTTGCAGACACTCACCTAGAGATTTACAGAGCCAGTATTCATGTAACAAATATGATTTAAAATGGAAATGATTTTATTTCTGTTGTTGCATCTCAACATTGCATGCTTTATAAAAAGAGAGATAAACTTTTTTTTATCATGAGCATGGCATGAGCATACTCCTCTTTAGTCTTGTCATGGTCCATATGTTGTGTAGTATATCTTCACTAGGCTGTGGCTCACCTTATAAGGGAAACCATTTTAGGTACATGTGCTATGCCTCCGCCAAGGCACTGACTTGGGAGGACTCGGAACTGAGGCTTCATTTTTGTTTTATGGTTATTTATTGAATGTAAGCCCAGGGTTATATTTGCGTTGAGTTGAAACTCTATTTTGTGTAACCAAGAATGTTCTTGGATAAATTTATAAGTCTGTAAGGCACTTATTATCTGTTTGACTTCCATTTCATACTTGTTGTAAAATGCATGCTTGGGATTGGAACTGGGGCATTGAGATGTGAACAGTATGTATTTGGCATTTGGGATTAAATAGAAATGAATGTATGGAATAGTTAGCTATGTATATGTGTTTGTCTATCAGGGGGGGTTTATTGTATAAATAGATATACCTTGCTCAATTTTTTAGGGCGTTACATAAACTATAGGGACCATTAGTGTAATTTGTCCTTGTTATTATACTCAATTTGACTACTCTAGTGGATAAACTCAAATTCAAGCATAAATTTGAATAAGAGCATTTTCAATCCTCAATCTCTTTTTGTATATGTATTTTTTTAAAGGTTGCTTGGAATTTCATTGTGAAAAGACACAATTTTCTCTGATTTGGTTAAAACACAGAGAAAATTATGAGCAAATTAGAGAAAATTAGTCAAATACATAGAGAAAATGGTGAGCAAATTATAGAGAAATTTGTGAACAAATTAGAGAAAATTCAATCCAGAGAAATTTCAAGATACAGAAAGTCAGGGAAGTTACGCAAATTAGAGAAATTTCAAAGCAGAGAAATTTTAAAACACTTGTTTTGAAATTTCTCTGGATCAAAATTTTTCTGGAAAAATGTTAAGGGACTCTAACCATTATGAAAATATTGCATGTCCTTTATGCTATAAAATCTTAATACTAGAGACCTTAAAAAAAATTCCCTTTTATTTTATACTCTTTCACATTATTATATTTGTTTTATTTTTAAGACTAATTTTTATAGTAAATTAAAGAAAAATATCTAATAAGTTTTACTATTATTCTTGTAAAATATTCATTTAATCCTTGGGTTAACGCACCATAATTTCATCATATTATAAAATGTGGCACAACTCATCATTTGAAAATGGAATAACATTTTGGCTGCCTTTGGATAATTGAATTCTGTAGAAATTTAGGAGACAAATTAGATTATGAATTTGGATAGTGGTCATTCAATGCATAATTTTTTTTTCAAATTATTATATTAATCAATGATCCAAATACAAATGAATGAATGTTGATTATGTATTTTTTTAATTAATTTAAAGTCAATCAACATTATGTATTTTTTTAATTAATTTAAAGTCAATCAAAAATAAAAATAAATATTCTAATAAAATAACCATTTAATTTTATTTTATTGAATAAAATATTATCCAAAATTTATTAAAAATTAAAAAAATATTAGTTAATTACCTAAAAGTCCTATTTACAAATGTTATGGTAGTTTAGATCCTATCTAAAAATTTTGAACCAATAAGTTCTATTTGGTAAAGTTGAGAATATTATCAGTTTTTTTTCAATTTTTAAAACTAAAAATATTATCAATTTTGCACAGTAATATTTTAGATAATTATTTCACTAACTGATGAAAAAATAGAGCGTGAAATTAAACGTTTTTGCTCTTCTATTTATTAGTTTGATTCAACTATCCAATAAAATCGAGAATATTGTCATTTTAAAAATGAGAAAATTATTAGCTTTTTCATTATTATTATTTTTTTAAATTTTGCATATCAATGTTCCATCATCATACTCTTTTATAGACATAAATTTTCAATTTTGTATAAAAATAATTCAGTTTTTTTAATTTTTTTTCAAAAAAACACATAATTTTTTTTATTTCAATTTTTTTAATTTGAAAGTTGATACTTTAAAATTTTTAAAATTAAAATAAATATCAAAATAAATAATCAAAATTATTATTTGAAGGACAATTCTGATTATTAAAAATTTAATAGGATTTGAAGGTTCAAAAAAATCTTAATTAAGATTTAATAGGTGTTTGGGATAAACTAAAAAAAAATATTTTTTTTTCTTACCTACACTTATTTAGATCACATTAATTAACATCTATTAATATCATCAACATCTCATATTTTTCTAACTACTTTTTCTATTATTTTTACATATTTTTATAAAAATTTTAAAAAATTCTTATTTTGGACATTCCAAACCATCACTTAATGAAATATAAATACATAAATTAAAACCTGTAAATAAAAAAAAAATTAAAAAAAAGGTTGCAAACCATGGGTTGGCCTGGGGGGTGAAGAAAGAGGAATTGCTTCACGTTGGTTTCTCCGTCTTTGTTGGAGAGAGAGAGAGAGAGAAACCCAAGTGTTCTTTGATCCGACCAACAACACACACACACCCCATTTTGGAAACCATCATTTGCGTTACAATGTCTGTAATGAACAAAGCGATCTCTCTACTCCAAGTCAAACAATCCTCAGATCTCTCTAATGGCTCAACCTGTCCTTCCATCTCCTTCCTCCTCCTCAACTCTTCCCAAATCTACCTTAACAGTAATCTCTCTCTCTCACTCACACACACACACACACACACACACAATTTCTGTCTTCTTTATTGATTCATTGCTCTGTTTTTTTGGTTGCCAGCTGAAATCAGTGGAAATTGGGCAGACCCAATTGGGATTGATTGTACCTTTCAAGTAAGTGTTTTGGTTATTTGAAATCTCTTTCTTTCTTTTGTCTATGCTATATCGAAGAATTTTTTTGATTCTACAGAAATTAGTGGAAATTGGGCAGACCCAATTGGGATTTTACTTATTTCTTTCAAGTTTGTTTTGGGTATTTGAATTCTCTTTCTTTCTTTCTTTCTTTTGTCTTTTCTCCATTGAATTTTTTTTTTGATTCTATTGAAATTAGTGGAAATTGGGCTGACACCCAATTGAGATTACTTATTTCTTTGTTATTTGAAGTCTCTTTCTTTCTGTGTTCTTTTTCTCCATTGAAGAACTTTTTTGATTTAGTGGAAATTGGGCAGACCCAATTGAGATTACTTGTTTCTTTCAAGTAAATTTTTGGTCATTTGAAATCTCTGTCTTTCTTTTGTCTTTTCTCCATTTGAAGAAATTAGTTGATTCTCTTGTTTCCCCCCGTCGTTTCTTAGATTTCTTTTGTGTGGCTTGATTCGTAATATTATTAGCTACTCTTTGTTCTTTTCCCATCAAATTGTAATTTAGAATTGCTGATGAAGGACTAAACTGATGATTCTGATTTTGATTGCTCTTCTTGTTTCTTTCATTAATTTGATCATGTTAATATACATTGAAGTTTGAATTTTTGCAAAATGTCTGAGATGATTATAAGTTTAAGGGTAAATTATACCATTGGTCCCCTATAGTTTTAGTGGAGGTTATGATGTGTTAATCTTGCAAGGTAAGCTTCTGATTTTAATGCCTTATGATTTATTTAGGGTAAATTTCACTCTTTACCCCTACACTTCACATCAAAATTCCAATGCCACTTTGCCCCATGACCTGTTAATTGTCCCAATCAACCCCTAGACTTTGAGTCAAGTTGCAATTGGGTCCATTTGTATAACGTTGTTTTGAAAACTAACGGTGAACAACCACATAATAGTATTAATTATTACACTTAGTACCCCTACACCTTTACCAAGATCCATGTTAGGCCGTCCACTATCATCCTTAGCACTCATGTACTTTAACCAAAATCCCACTTTAGTCCCTCTACTTTAGATTCTCCATCAGTTTTCGAAATGGCATTATGCGAATGGGTCCAATTGCAACTTGACTTGAAGTCTCGGGAGTTGACTTCGACCATTAGGGGGTAAAGTGGGATTGGGTCTAAAGTAGGTGCAAACTGAAATTTGCTCATTTATTTTTAGGGAAATAATTATTTTTAAGATTACAGACTAGGTGCAATCTCTGGGATTGACCAAGGGATAATAATGTCATTGATTTCTGTTAAATCATTTGCAATATATATTTGGCCGATACAAAACATACTAACACATGTTTGTATCCTCTTCTGAATGTCTACCTTTCACTATCCAATTCACAGAGGTAGTTCGGCGTTGAGATTGAAGGCCTCAAAGGAGTCACCGGGACTGACTGAGGGACTCACAAATAACAAACAAAAGAGCTGCTTAGCAGGAACTCAAAATGGGTCTGATCTCTTCAATGAAATGAAACATCGGTTTCTAAGTTTCAAAAAGCATAAATTCTTGTAAGCATCCCATAATTGTGGTCTATTGTTGTTTAGCTTCTATAGACAATTTGGTTTCACTAATTTATCACCCCCAAAAAAAAAAAAAATTGGTTTCACTGATGTGAGATATTCTTTAAACAGGAAAAACTTAGAATGCTTTCAAAATCTTGCTAAGGTTCAGGCACCAAAGGTAATGACGGGTTTTTCTTTTGGGCCATGTTAGAATTTACCATCACCTACCACCACTACCACCTCACCTACTCCACTAAACCTAACCCACTACACCTACCACCACTACCACCTCACCTACTCCACTAAACCTAACCCACTACACCACTACCACCATTCACTACACCTACATCTATATAAGGAACCATTTGTAATATACAGAAAAATAAAACAAGATATCAATCAATAATACATATATTTTAACATGGTATCAGAGCAAGGTTAAGACCTTAGTATTTCTCGCTTCACCGGCGGGCGGCAACCTCGCCTTGGCCGCCCGCCGGACCTCAACCTAGTCCGCCAGAATCTTCTTCATCACCATCACAGCTTGACTACAGCTCCAGTCTACTGGAATATAGGGTGGGGTGGGGAGAGAGATGAATAATGCTTTTCTGTTAAAGCCCTCACTGGCTCAAGAAGACTCAAGATTCTGCCACAAGGTCCGAATAGCCATAGCCATAGCCATCAGTCCTCTGCATCTCCTCCAATGGTGGTTGGGTCTCCCACAACTTCCATCTCCAAGGGTGGTGGTGCCAGTGGAAGCCCGAGGACATCGACCTCCACTTCACAACCTGGCAATAAACCCACCGCCCAACCTTCTTCATTGTCTTCTCAGCAGCCCAAGAACTCCACATCAGTGCCAAGCCGGAAATCATCTCCGGTTGGTGTCAGAAGTATTCCATCAATACTTGGCAACCCCCATATTACCTCTTCAAGCACTGGAACAAAGTCTCAAATACAACAACAGTTGCCAAAACAGATGGTGCAGCAACAACAGCTATTCTTCTCTGCTCCATACCTGCAAACTCAAGGCCCTCTCTTTTCCTTTCTTTTTCTTTTAATATTTACATCCACTACCTTTTGTCTTTCAAATAAAGCCACCACCTTCCACCAAACCCATTTTTTTATTCGTTTTCTTCTTATTATCCTCCTCATCATCATGTACCCCTCTCTCTCTCTCTCATTTTTTTCACTTTCCAACCCACTGAGGCCCATGCTTTCGCCATTAATATATTCTTATTATTATTATTTAAAACAAAAAAAAAATATATATATATATATACACAAACAAATACCACACCCATTGCGGTTTTTCACAACACCCGTGCCATGCTGCAAAACAGATATATAATATATATATCAAATCATGGTCCATACATTGAGTCACCATCTCTCTTTCACTCTCTCTCACTCACATGCGGGAAACAGAGTTTCTCTCTCTCCCCTTCTCTCCACTTTATCACATGGGTTTTGTCCCCCTCTTTTCGTTTCTTTTTATTTTACTATTCTCTACCGATTTGAATATCACCTTTCTTTTTTTTTTCTTTTTTTATTCCTTTACCATTCACACACACAAAAAAAAAAAAAAAAAAAAAAAAAATGATGAAGAAGAAGAAGAAGAAAAGAAAAAAAAATAAAGGACCATCTCGTATAGTAAAATCTAGGGGTTAAACTCACCTACCTCCCGTCAGGTTTGGTGAAATGACTTTCAGACCCAAAAGGTTTTAAAAATAGGCCGGGACCTCTCTTAGTGCTGGTCTCTGTAGATGAAATATTGATTCAATTGGTTGGTTGACCAGATTTGGCAGCCAAGTGTCGTAAAATGTTCTACATTCTAAATAATAGATTAGTCAATGTTTTGAATGGGCAGGACCTATGTACGAAGTACTAACTCTTCTCTCTCTCTCTCTCAAAATGGGTTGACCCATGAACACCCACCCACGTTTCTCTCTCTACCTTCTCTTTCTAACACTGACACACCTTTCCACCACCAAAGCCTCCCACCATTATTCTGCCTCTCATTATACCACTCACCAATGCCATCAATGGAAACAATGTTCCCAACTCAAATATGAAAAGTAATAAAGTTAGTTTTGTTACTATTTATGCATTATTCTTCTTCTCTCTCTCTCTCTCAACCCAACCAAACACCACCACCATACTTGGCACGCCACTGCCTAAGACCTCTACCATAACCATCCTCACCTATCACCACCCACCACCCCACCGCCTTAAACACCCATGCACCGCCACTACATGCTGCCACCAACTGCCATCATCACCACCATAAACACCCACCTTCACTGCCTGCCCCATGATTACAATTACCTGCCAATTACCTTCTAATGACCACCACATACAACCTCCACCATCACCTACCCTGACAACCCTCACGCCTGGGTGGATTTGGTTGTGGAATGTGTATACTGTTGGTTTTAATAATTGCAGTTGGGGCTCAGGTGTTTGGAGTTGATTTTGATTTTGTCAAATTTGAACATGCTGGATTTGATATTTAGACTACTGGATTGTTTCTTCACAACCTCAGCCCATCTCTAAAACAACTCCCTTGGTAGGTAACGATGACAGCATGATTGGCACTCCCATTATTGGTTTACCTCGATCCAAAATCGACCACCAAACCCACCTCATAAAGTTATGATTATCCAATAGTGTTTGAGGTTAGATTTGTATCTCATCCACCTTCAGCATTGCACATTTGTGGGTCCATTATTTACTGATGGCATTTATTATTACTTTTTTTTTTTTTAAATCTTGTACTAATATGTGCTTCAGATGCCACTACTCTGTTTGATTTAAAGTAGGTGGACTAATTTTTGACACTTAGATACTCTATGAATAGTATAGGCGTCCTAGTAGAAGACTATAATATATGGAACTTTTAAGTCTGTTGGTGCACTCATGTGTTTACTTCATCATAATTGGATATTTGCAAATCGCCATTAACTTATGTTACATGTACATTTATCAGTTGTGGGCATGTGTCTCAAGTGTCAAGTTCATCAAATTGAACATGACTAAAGTTTATATTTCTTAAATACTTCTTTCATTTATTTATGGCATAATAGTGTTTACAAAGTACAAACTAATATAGATCTTTTTATGTATAAAATGGGAGCCTTATGCATAATTTCATAATAAACTCGTCAACTTAGACATGTTGTTGGGTGCATATCTAACTAGACATGTCAGACACATTGTCCTATATCCTAACCCAAGTGTCAAGTGTGAAACACAGGTACTTAACAAATTTAAACGGTCTATGTAACATAGGATGGAGGAAGCATGTTGTAAGCAATGTTGAGTCTTGCTTCATATTTAAGCCATTTATGTCTTTCATTTTCAGGAATCAATAAACCGGTCATTGGTGAACTTGCTTACTTATCCATGGATAGAAGAAAGGGTGACAAAAGGGGTGCTTTCCATTCATGGCGGTTACTATGACTTTGTTGATTGTACTTTGGAGAAATGGACACTTGATTACCAGGAAAGTAGATGGAGGAATAGAAGCGGCATATACTCTCTCAAAAACAGAGAATTTTGGTGTTGATAATGCCCTTACTAGTTTTCTGATTTTTTTGATTTTTGATTTTTTTATTTTTTTTTGGGATGAATTATATGTAACGAGTATTCTTCAAGTTTAGGATTGTTTAAAACCTTAGAACTAACTAAAAAAACAATCCTAATCCCTCAACCTTGGCAAAAGTTCTGCTAATTTTTATGTGTTCCAATGAAATGCTCAGATGTGTCATGGGCTTATAGTGTTACGCCTGGTTTTCAATGAGATTTTTTCTTTTCTTAAATTTGAGGAAAAAATAGTTGAGATATTTAAGGAGGAGCTTCTTTGTCAGAGATCTAGCAGAATTGGTACAGAATAAATAAAAATAAAATTTGGACAAATGTACCTATACTTATGCTATAAAATTTGGATGGAAACAGTGTATTGAATTATTTAAACAGAAAAAATTGATACAATTAAAATGCAGAAATAAAATGAGATAAGAGTACGTATTTTTAGACACAAACAATATATTTAACCCTTTTATCCATAAGAAGCAAACAATAAGGCTATGTTTGGCAACGCTCGCGAACTATATTTTTACCCTCCTATTTGCGCTAAATGTTTGGATACAAATTTAAAAATACAATTCTATCACAGAGTTCAAAATGTTATTTGTATGATTTAAATTGTTGATCTTATAAAGTTTGTTGAGTAAATTATCTGTATAGAAAACTAAATTAATTTGACATCCATCACATTTGTCTTGGTAAATAAAAAATAATATTTACTTTGTTTGGTGTTCATTTTCAAAATTTATATTTAGAAAATTTTACCTTTTCATTTTTTATATATATTTTTTTGTTTTCACAGAATTTTTTAATATTTTAAATATTTTTTTAATTTTTAAATACACTTAATATAAATACACTTAAAAAGTATAATATTTGTGATTTTTTTTTATTAAATACCAAAAATATAAAAAAATATGAAAATTCAATACATTTTTTGTATTTTACATCTAAGTAAGGTGCATCTAAAAAAGAAAAAAATATGAAAATTCAATATATTTTACTATTTATTACATCTAAGTAAGATGCATTTAAAAAAGTACAAAAATTGTTTAAAATTTTAAAAATATTCATTAAAAACCAAAAAATAAGAAAAACAAAAAATTTAATTTCCAGAAAACTGAAACCAAACACACTGATTGTGATTTTGAAAATTTATCATTTATTTTTTTAAAAAAAGATAAATGTATTTCAATTATGTAGTTTTGAATATCTAATCAATTCTAATTTTTATATAGATAATTTATTCAACAAGTCTTATAAAATAAATGATTTTGATAATAAAAATAATCGGAAATGAGTTTAGTTACCTATTTTTGCTCTACAATCTTTCAATTTTCTCATGCCAAGTAAAATGACCTATCAACATGCAGATATCTATTTTATTTTTATTTTTATGTTAGGTTTTTTAGCGATGCCATCTATACTTAAACAAAAACGAACAAATATATTTTTGTTGATATAGAGCTTTTGTAGCATTGCAAATTGTAATGCCAACAATACATGACAGCCTAATTATCAAACCACATGATCACCAACCCACAGTTCTCTCAACATATACAATGCCAACTATGTACACATGAGGCTAAAACAACCACACTACATGATCACCAACCCCTTTTATCCTCTCAACATCTTTGTCTATAATTGCCAAAAACATGCCACATTTTGCTAACACAATTTGTCTATTTTCTCTTTAAAACTCTACTTGTATTTTTTAATTTCCTTCTCATTTTAAGGGTGTTTTTGCTTTGTTCCAAAAGTTTTGTTTCCATTTTCGATGACTTCTAGAAACACTTTCATAATTGTTTTGTTCATTGTTTGCTCTTTGCCAAGCATAATCTATGTATCAGAAGGGGCTCGACATATTTCCAACACTTTTTTACCTGTCATCCCTGTTGTGCCGACGTTCATGACACTAAATACCACTGAGCCTCCGCAATCAACAGCTATTGATTTTCCGATGATGGCGCTACTCTCTGGCATGCCTACCGCAATTCCATGGCCTACGAAAAAATGTTGGGAGCACCTTCACCTTGTTTTGCAAGTTTCTTATTTCTGACGAGAGAGTGGATTTTCTATCTTTTCTGTCATGAACACTATCATACGATCAAAACCAGATGGTAAAGACGAGATTTGAGACACAAAATATGAGAGAAATAAGATAAGGGATCTAGTTTGTTTGTCCAACTACTTCAAACATTTATTGGTGTTCTTCTTTATTCAATTTCCTCCTTATAAATTCACCAGATTTTGTTTTGTTTTTGTTTTATTTTTAAAAAGGTTTATTTATTTTATGAAATTATAAATATTACATTTATTAATGTAATAAATGTTATTTTTCCCTTTCATTTTGTTTTCTTTATGACAAACCATCTTTTCACATTTTTTTATTACAATGTCATATTTAGACCCACAAAAATATTTCCCTTAATTTTGGAATATATTTGTGTTTGTTATATGTCATCTGGCATCAGATGTTGAAATGCGTTGGTGTATGAGAATTTGAATGATGTGAATATATTCACCATTGTGCATTAGAATTTTAAGTGCAGTAGATGTGTTTAATTGAATTTTCAGAATTTATTTATTTATTTGATAAAAATTTAATATACTTCACTAAAAGTAAAAAATTTAAAAAAGGGGAATTTTTTTTCTTCTTCTAATAATTGCCAAATAAAACCTAAACCAAACATTTGATAATTTTATTGTTTATAAAATAAAATTATTGATAACGTCTCATTCATTATGGGGATTAACAATTTAGTGGTTGTTTGTAATTTTTTTTTTAAAAAAATTAATGATAAAATTTATAAATTTTAATAATTAAAATTATTATTATTATTATTTTTATGAATTTGTAAATTTTTTATGAAAATACCAATGATTTATAATTTTTTCAAATTAATTATACAGTATTTTCTTGGGAAGGTATTGTATCCTGTCATCGTGGCTTGTATCAGGATTCTTTTAAACACTAATTTATTTATTTATTTTTAGTGTTATTTTGAATTTGAGTCAAAGCTAACCTGTTATTATATGTTAAGTAAATTAGAAATGACATGGACAGGCCCACGAGGCGTACAGCCCACGGCAAACCGCCCCGAACCCATCACCTTGGACCCATAGCATAACTTGATTGGCAAAGCCTAGGACAGCTGGAGTCCACCTGGACGTGGAGGGCCAAGGACATTCGGACACATGACAGATGAGACACAGGTCACATCAGCAGACAAAGATCTGCAGAGTTATTGCCACAACACATCACCATTAATGCAGCCCATCACAGCATTTATTACGACAACACCTCCCCGTCGGAACACTTTTTTCTCTCTCTCTCGTGGTGCCGCAGGACGACCCACCACGGAGAGGCACAATATTTGGGTGCTGCCCCACTCTCCCTATAATTTCCATCTGCTGTTCAAAGTCCTTATTCCCCACCACTGTTGTAGACTCCTCCACGACAGCTTTTCTTTCTTTATTATCTCTTATACACAACCCACTGTTGGCTATTTTGCTTTCCATGTTTCTGTTTCAACAACTCCACTTTCTTTTTTTTAATATTTATTTTATTCTCTCTTTTGCAAAGCACCCGACACACCAAATGTTGTGCACAAACCCATTTTACTTTTTCTTCTTTTCTTTCTTTATTTTGTCTTTTCCTCCCTTTTACACCACTCAATACACCCAGACATTACACACGGCATGTGAGCCACTTTCTTTCTTTTATTTTTTTATTTTTTTTATTTATTTTATTTATTTATTTATTTATTTATTTTTTTTATTTAGTCGCTAAAAATAGCATACACAGCCCCCTTTTTAATTTCATTCTTCCGCCCATATTTTTGGCGACAATTAGTGTAATTTGGTCGGCAAAAATTACTTATTTGCGACCAAAAATTTTAGTCGGTAACAGTATCAATTTTTAGCTACGAAATTTACTTTTGGTCGGCAAATGTCATTTTTTTGCGACAAAAATTTTTTTGGTCGGCAAAAGTGGTCGGCAAATGTGTAAATTCTTGTAGTGACTTCAAATAGGCTTGGTTCTTATTCCATTAGGGAAGTGTCTCCCTCAACTTAATGTGGTTTGGTGTTGTAGGGCTTGTCATTGGCATTGCAAAACCAGTATACCAAAGAGACGAAATGTCTGGTACTGGAAGACCAACCTAGCATAGTTCATACACCTAGGGAATGTCACTAGGGCATTTTTCAGTCGACTGGAAACCTTTGGAGTAACCTCCCTATAATCGAGTATGATAAGGATAGATTCTTTTACTAATATCGTTTTTTTTTTCTTTTGTTTTTTTTTTTTTATTATTTTGATTTCTTCCCTATAATTAATTTGGTTGTTCCTTTGTGGTATGTGTCATTGAGGATAATTAAGTTTGGGGAAGGGTTTGGTTTGAGCAAACTCCGGGGCGCTTGGTTGAGGTTCCAGTGCCACCGCACCAGTTATCTCTCTTGTTGACTCGTTGAGGTCGGGAAAGAGAGTAAGCAGAGGGCGGGACGAAGAGGCCATTTTCTGGACAACAGAGTGTTACAGTCTCTCTCAGAAAACAGAGTGTTACAGAATCTCTCTCAGAAATCTCGCTCAGAATATCTCTTGCAGGTTTTTTGCCTCAGCCTCAGCCTCAGCCTCTGTCTTATAGCCGAGGCAGCCACGCGCATCGCGCGCCTCTTACCACCAGCCGACAAACGAGCACGCAAGCCAAGGCGCCCACGTACCTCGCCATCATGTCCGGCACACCTTTTGATGAATTGGGCACGCCTTTTGATGGCACGACTTTTGACAAAATTGGGCACACCTTTTGAGGGTGCCACTTTTACAAGGGTCCGACAAGACTCTGTAAACTGTCCCGACATAGATTCCGGTTAGTTTCTACAAGGGTCCGACAAGACTCTGTAAACTGTCCCGACATTAATTTCGGTTAGCTCCTTTATGGGTCCGACAAGACTCTGTAAACTGTCCCGACATTGATTCCGGTTAGTTTCTACAACGGTCCGACATGACTCCGTAAACTGTCTTCTACAACGGTCCGACATGACCCCATAAACTGTCTTCTACATCGATCTGACACCACCATACAGTGTCCTCTACCACGTTATGACACCCCCCCTCTACAACGTTATGACACCACCATACAGTGTCTTCACCATCGGTCTGAAACGACCATACCGTGTCTCCTATCCTCTTTTATTTTTATGTATTTTATTATTTTGTTCCTCTCTTCAAACTCAAGTTGGTTAGTTTCTATCTGTTAGAATTTACCATCACCTACCACCACTACCACCTCACCTACTCCACTAAACCTAACCCACTCTACCACTACCACCTACCACACTTCTCCTACTCTCCACCTACTCCCCAACACACTCCTATATAATAGGAATCTTTGTAATTGTAATACACAACTATATCAATCAATAATACATATATTTTAACACTATCCTCCTTGAGTTTGCGGGGGGCTGTTAGAATTTACCATCACCTACCACCACTACCACCTCACCTACTCCACTAAACCTAACCCACTGCACCACTACCACCATCCACTACACCTACATCTATATAAGGAACCATTTGTAATATACAGAAAAATAAAACAAGATATCAATCAATAATACATATATTTTAACAGGCCAATTACCTTTTCTTAACTCGTATGTTGGAACCTCATATTGGTAATTTGCCTCCATGTTTTGCTGAAGTGGTTGAGATATTGTTAACTGACAAATTGCAAGACCAGTTCATGGTGATTGCTTGTGCAGACTCCAGGGTTTGTCCCTCCTACATCCTAGGGTTTCAACCAGGAGAAGCCTTTGTAGTCCGCAATGTGGCGAATCTGGTGCCTCCATTTGAGGTATTGCATATATTTCATTTGCTTCATCTTAGCTTATACTACTACTACTAAATCTCACACGGAGTAAAAGCACAAGGGGTTAAATCTCACATGACGAAAATGTCTGTGGTTTGTACAATGAGGTTACTTATGATAAAGGGTATTTTAATCTTTTCCTTAAGCTGTTAATGAGCTTGACGGTGCACTTTAGTCCACAAACTAGCGAATTATGTGATTATTTTCTAATGGCAAGAGGGTAAACTGCACATGGGTTAACTTAAACCACATAGGGGTAAAGTGAAATTTGCCCTTTTATTTATTTGTTTATTTTTTCTATTGCAGAATGGGCCATCAGAAACAAATGCTGCCCTTGAATTTTCCGTCAATTCTCTAGAGGTAAGTGAATTCTGCTGACAAATCTTCTGTCTAGTTGCTCTATTTCTTTGTGACAGGAAACATGACCCTCTATCCACTATTGGTTGTACATTGACTGGGACTGTAGTGACATATTGGGAATTCATAAATCATTGGGAATTTGTATCTGTTCATAATATGCAAATTTTATCCAGATACTGCTGTGAAAAAAATTTGACTAACTTCAATACTGACAAGTTTTGATTGAATGTGTAACTTTTCTTTTTAAACAAGTACAGCCGATACAAGGTATTGAAGCAAGGGGAAATGAAATAAAAAAAATGGAGGAGACAGTTTTGAGGAATCCTATGGGTAATTCTTAGACCAAAGAAACTCTATTGTTAAATAATAAAAAGAACTCAGAGAATAAATTTCAAGGAGAAAGGTAAAGCAAGCTGAAAACAAAGCACCTTTAGTAACTGATTATGAAGCATATATATATATATATATATCATGCCGCAATTACCTACACTGGACTATATAATCTAGTTGCAGTGAACAATCTGGAATTGCTGCATCGTGATTCAAAAATTTGTCCGTACACTTCATGACTAAGTTACTAATAATATGTGTGTGTTATTATATTAGATGAATGAAATTGCTCCAAGTGACCTCTTGAATATATATGAATTGAACAAACTGGCCACCCTTTGGCGACAAACTTGATGGGAAAACATCTATACGTAGTAAATTTGAATTTTTCTGCAGGTTGAAAATATACTAGTCATTGGTCACAGTTGCTGTGGAGGTATTCGTGCCCTCATGAGTGTGCAAGATAAAGTAAATTCAAGGTCCAGCCAACATCAACTTCTTTGATTTTTCTTCTTCTCTCTCTCTCTCTCTCACCCACACACACACACACACACACCCACACATATCCATACGCACAAACACAAGCACACATGCAGGTAAGCACACGCATAGTCCAAGTAAAGAGAAATGTTTGTAGGTTTCATATTCATGTCATTTATTTTTCCAAGTAGCTTTATTCAAAGTTGGGTAGTTGTTGGGTAGTTGTTGGGAAGAATGCAAGGTTAAGCACGAAGGCTGCTGCTTCCAACCTAAACTTTGATCAGCAATGCAGACACTGTGAGAAGGTGATCTCTCTCTCTCTCTCTCTCTCCATTAAAACATTTTTACCACATTTAGGTGTTTTTGTTTTAATGCGATAATGGGATATTTTGCATTGTTGGTTTGTGTGTTATTGGGAAGGGAAGGCCATTTCCCTTTTCGATAACTTGGTATCCAGTTTATTGGACTGACTAATCTGAGTGGACCAATCCCACCATCCACTAGCGGGGGCTCAATTAAAGCTAGAACAAAGCCCTATATGAATTGGCCCAAAAAAATTGTTTACACTTGGAAAGTTTCGAACTTGAGACCGTGGAGGGAGCACACCCTAGGCCCCAGACCTTGACCACTAGGCCAATTCCTTGGAGTTGGGAAGAGCATTTGTTATCATCTGTTTTGATGAGAGTGCTCAAATGTGAAACCAATGATTTTCAATTGTGGTGTGTCTTTCATGTCATGGGACCTGATCTCTGAACCACTACCATATAAGTCTAGGTTTTGTGTGAATTCTATGTCACTATCTCACTGATTCAAGGACTATCATATATAAAGAATAAAAAAAAAAAAGAAAAAAAAAATGATGAAGAAGAAGAAGAAGAAAAGAAAAAAAAATAAAGGACCATCTCGTATAGTAAAATCTAGGGGTTAAACTCACCTACCTCCCTTCAGGTTTGGTGAAATGACTTTCAGACCCAAAAGGTTTTAAAAATAGGCCGGGACCTCTCTTAGTGCTGGTCTCTGTAGATGAAATATTGATTCAATTGGTTGGTTGACCAGATTTGGCAGCCAAGTGTCGTAAAATGTTCTACATTCTAAATAATAGATTAGTCAATGTTTTGAATGGGCAGGACCTATGTACGAAGTACTAACTCTTCTCTCTCTCTCTCTCAAAATGGGTTGACCCATGAACACCCACCCACGTTTCTCTCTCTACCTTCTCTTTCTAACACTGACACACCTTTCCACCACCAAAGCCTCCCACCATTATTCTGCCTCTCATTATACCACTCACCAATGCCATCAATGGAAACAATGTTCCCAACTCAAATATGAAAAGTAATAAAGTTAGTTTTGTTACTATTTATGCATTATTCTTCTTCTTCTCTCTCTCTCTCTCAACCCAACCAAACACCACCACCATACTTGGCACGCCACTGCCTAAGACCTCTACCATAACCATCCTCACCTATCACCACCCACCACCCCACCGCCTTAAACACCCATGCACCGCCACTACATGCTGCCACCAACTGCCATCATCACCACCATAAACACCCACCTTCACTGCCTGCCCCATGATTACAATTACCTGCCAATTACCTTCTAATGACCACCACATACAACCTCCACCATCACCTACCCTGACAACCCTCACGCCTGGGTGGATTTGGTTGTGGAATGTGTATAGTGTTGGTTTTAATAGTTGCAGTTGGGGCTCAGGTGTTTGAAGTTGATTTTGATTTTGTCAAATTTGAACATGCTGGATTTGATATTTAGACTACTGGATTGTTTCTCCACAACCTCAGCCCATCTCTAAAACAACTCCCTTGGTAGGTAACGATGACAGCATGATTGGCACTCCCATTATTGGTTTACCTCCATCCAAAATCGACCACCAAACCCACCTCATAAAGTTATGATTATCCAATAGTGTTTGAGGTTAGATTTGTATCTCATCCACCTTCAGCATTGCACATTTGTGGGTCCATTATTTACTGATGGCATTTATTATTACTTTTTTTTTTTTAAAAATCTTGTACTAATATGTCCTTCAGATGCCACTACTCTGTTTGATTTAAAGTAGGTGGACTAATTTTTGACACTTAGATGCTCTATGAATAGTATAGGCGTCCTAGTAGAAGACTATAATATATGGAACTTTTAAGTCTGTTGGTGCACTCATGTGTTTACTTCATCATAATTGGATATTTGCAAATCGCCATTAACTTATGTTACATGTACATTTATCAGTTGTGGGCATGTGTCTCAAGTGTCAAGTTCATCAAATTGAACATGACTAAAGTTTATATTTCTTAAATACTTCTTTCATTTATTTATGGCATAATAGTGTTTACAAAGTACAAACTAATATAGATCTTTTTATGTATAAAATGGGAGCCTTATGCATAATTTCATAATAAACTCGTCAACTTAGACATGTTGTTGGGTGCATATCTAACTAGACATGTCAGACACATTGTCCTATATCCTAACCCAAGTGTCAAGTGTGAAACACAGGTACTTAACAAATTTAAACGGTCTATGTAACATAGGATGGAGGAAGCATGTTGTAAGCAATGTTGAGTCTTGCTTCATATTTAAGCCATTTATGTCTTTCATTTTCAGGAATCAATAAACCGGTCATTGGTGAACTTGCTTACTTATCCATGGATAGAAGAAAGGGTGACAAAAGGGGTGCTTTCCATTCATGGCGGTTACTATGACTTTGTTGATTGTACTTTGGAGAAATGGACACTTGATTACCAGGAAAGTAGATGGAGGAATAGAAGCGGCATATACTCTCTCAAAAACAGAGAATTTTGGTGTTGATAATGCCCTTACTAGTTTTCTGATTTTTTTGATTTTTGATTTTTTTATTTTTTTTTGGGATGAATTATATGTAACGAGTATTCTTCAAGTTTAGGATTGTTTAAAACCTTAGAACTAACTAAAAAAACAATCCTAATCCCTCAACCTTGGCAAAAGTTCTGCTAATTTTTATGTGTTCCAATGAAATGCTCAGATGTGTCATGGGCTTATAGTGTTACGCCTGGTTTTCAATGAGATTTTTTCTTTTCTTAAATTTGAGGAAAAAATAGTTGAGATATTTAAGGAGGAGCTTCTTTGTCAGAGATCTAGCAGAATTGGTACAGAATAAATAAAAATAAAATTTGGACAAATGTACCTATACTTATGCTATAAAATTTGGATGGAAACAGTGTATTGAATTATTTAAACAGAAAAAATTGATACAATTAAAATGCAGAAATAAAATGAGATAAGAGTACGTATTTTTAGACACAAACAATATATTTAACCCTTTTATCCATAAGAAGCAAACAATAAGGCTATGTTTGGCAACGCTCGCGAACTATATTTTTACCCTCCTATTTGCGCTAAATGTTTGGATACAAATTTAAAAATACAATTCTATCACAGAGTTCAAAATGTTATTTGTATGATTTAAATTGTTGATCTTATAAAGTTTGTTGAGTAAATTATCTGTATAGAAAACTAAATTAATTTGACATCCATCACATTTGTCTTGGTAAATAAAAAATAATATTTACTTTGTTTGGTGTTCATTTTCAAAATTTATATTTAGAAAATTTTACCTTTTCATTTTTTATATATATTTTTTTGTTTTCACAGAATTTTTTAATATTTTAAATATTTTTTTAATTTTTAAATACACTTAATATAAATACACTTAAAAAGTATAATATTTGTGATTTTTTTTTATTAAATACCAAAAATATAAAAAAATATGAAAATTCAATACATTTTTTGTATTTTACATCTAAGTAAGGTGCATCTAAAAAAGAAAAAAAATATGAAAATTCAATATATTTTGCTATTTATTACATCTAAGTAAGATGCATTTAAAAAAGTAAAAAAATTGTTTAAAATTTTAAAAATATTCATTAAAAACCAAAAAATAAGAAAAACAAAAAATTTAATTTCCAGAAAACTGAAACCAAACACACTGATTGTGATTTTGAAAATTTATCATTTATTTTTTTAAAAAAAGATAAATGTATTTCAATTATGTAGTTTTGAATATCTAATCAATTCTAGTTTTTATATAGATAATTTATTCAACAAGTCTTATAAAATAAATGATTTTGATAATAAAAATAATTGGAAAATGAGTTTAGTTACCTATTTTTGCTCAACAATCTTTCAATTTTCTCATGCCAAGTAAAATGACCTATCAACATGCAGATATCTATTTTATTTTTATTTTTATGTTAGGTTTTTTAGCGATGCCATCTATACTTAAACAAAAACGAACAAATATATTTTTGTTGATATAGAGCTTTTGTAGCATTGCAAATTGTAATGCCAACAATACATGACAGCCTAATTATCAAACCACATGATCACCAACCCACAGTTCTCTCAACATATACAATGCCAACTATGTACACATGAGGCTAAAACAACCACACTACATGATCACCAACCCCTTTTATCCTCTCAACATCTTTGTCTATAATTGCCAAAAACATGCCACATTTTGCTAACACAATTTGTCTATTTTCTCTTTAAAACTCTACTTGTATTTTTTAATTTCCTTCTCATTTTAAGGGTGTTTTTGCTTTGTTCCAAAAGTTTTGTTTCCATTTTCGATGACTTCTAGAAACACTTTCATAATTGTTTTGTTCATTGTTTGCTCTTTGCCAAGCATAATCTATGTATCAGAAGGGGCTCGACATATTTCCAACACTTTTTTACCTGTCATCCCTGTTGTGCCGACGTTCATGACACTAAATACCACTGAGCCTCCGCAATCAACAGCTATTGATTTTCCGATGATGGCGCTACTCTCTGGCATGCCTACCGCAATTCCATGGCCTACGAAAAAATGTTGGGAGCACCTTCACCTTGTTTTGCAAGTTTCTTATTTCTGACGAGAGAGTGGATTTTCTATCTTTTCTGTCATGAACACTATCATACGATCAAAACCAGATGGTAAAGACGAGATTTGAGACACAAAATATGAGAGAAATAAGATAAGGGATCTAGTTTGTTTGTCCAACTACTTCAAACATTTATTGGTGTTCTTCTTTATTCAATTTCCTCCTTATAAATTCACTAGATTTTGTTTTGTTTTTGTTTTATTTTTAAAAAGGTTTATTTATTTTATGAAATTATAAATATTACATTTATTAATGTAATAAATGTTATTTTTCCCTTTCATTTTGTTTTCTTTATGACAAACCATCTTTTCACATTTTTTTATTACAATGTCATATTTAGACCCACAAAAATATTTCCCTTAATTTTGGAATATATTTGTGTTTGTTATATGTCATCTGGCATCAGATGTTGAAATGCGTTGGTGTATGAGAATTTGAATGATGTGAATATATTCACCATTGTGCATTAGAATTTTAAGTGCAGTAGATGTGTTTAATTGAATTTTCAGAATTTATTTATTTATTTGATAAAAATTTAATATACTTCACTAAAAGTAAAAAATTTAAAAAAGGGGAATTTTTTTTCTTCTTCTAATAATTGCCAAATAAAACCTAAACCAAACATTTGATAATTTTATTGTTTATAAAATAAAATTATTGATAACGTCTCATTCATTATGGGGATTAACAATTTAGTGGTTGTTTGTAATTTTTTTTTTAAAAAAATTAATGATAAAATTTATAAATTTTAATAATTAAAATTATTATTATTATTATTTTTATGAATTTGTAAATTTTTTATGAAAATACCAATGATTTATAATTTTTTCAAATTAATTATACAGTATTTTCTTGGGAAGGTATTGTATCCTGTCATCGTGGCTTGTATCAGGATTCTTTTAAACACTAATTTATTTATTTATTTTTAGTGTTATTTTGAATTTGAGTCAAAGCTAACCTGTTATTATATGTTAAGTAAATTAGAAATGACATGGACAGGCCCACGAGGCGTACAGCCCACGGCAAACCGCCCCGAACCCATCACCTTGGACCCATAGCATAACTTGATTGGCAAAGCCTAGGACAGCTGGAGTCCACCTGGACGTGGAGGGCCAAGGACATTCGGACACATGACAGATGAGACACAGGTCACATCAGCAGACAAAGATCTGCAGAGTTATTGCCACAACACATCACCATTAATGCAGCCCATCACAGCATTTATTACGACAACACCTCCCCGTCGGAACAGAGCCCCCTCACCCTGAACAAGGTAAGCTACGGCACAGGCTTTCAGCGGAAAGGGGG